CGTAAGACCCGGGTCAGGGCAGGATTACCCACGCAAATGACAGTCAGGGACTCGGGAAGCTGCTCTTTCTCTCTCGGCTTCCCCGAGGTGGGTGCAAATCCGATTGCCACCCCCCACCCTCCACCCCCCATCCCCACTCCTATCTTTCCTCTTTCCCCTCCATTCCTTCCCCCACCCTCACCCCCAGTTCCTCTGCCCCTGAGCTCGGGTTTGCGCCTATTCCCAGTCTTACGTGGCGGGACTAGGTGGTGGTTCGTCTGCTGGCAGGAGCGCCTGGAGGTTCCGGAGCGCACGTAGGGAATCCCCTCCCTCCCCCCTCCAGCGTCACAGCGTCACCGCCGCCTTGTCTGGGTCCCTAGGTCTTTGGAAAGCCTGGGAAGTTGCAATCCCGACAGGCCCAGACAATCAAAGCCAGGAAAGGCTGGCACGCTTTACACGTGTCATGTATTTCAAACATGTCAGGGGTGATTTTCATGACAACCTTTGACCTACTGTATAGGCAGCAATACATGCCTCTAACACTTTTAAGAATGTTATGTGGCTGAATGAAATATAATAGCTATAGTGAGTGTACATATCTGTAACTTCTCTTTATAGCTAAATTGTGTTTACCACAGGAAATACTGTTCCCCGCACCACCATCTGCTCCTTGCTTCTTGGAGAGGAAGGAGGTAAATCCCTCTCCACAAGACGGCTCCTAAGCAACGTTATCCAGTAAATCGTCAATTTGAGCCGGAGATGTATTCCCTCCTATTTCCTCTCCTTTCAAGGGTCCAGGACCTCCGGGGATGCTAAATGTGCAAAACATCTGCTTTAATGCATGTATTTCTTTGCGTGTGGTTTCCACCTTTTTGGTCACCAGCCCTTCACAGGAGATACAAAGAGGAGAGTTTAAAGGGTGTTTTTTTTTTGGGGGGGGGGGTTCTCTGCCCATTTTTCCAAGATGAGATGTAACAATGGATCAAGGTGTAAGACTGCATTTAGGGACTAATTTTCTATTATTTTGGAACATAGTTTGATGATTTGGATGGAATGGATGTAAAGGAAGGGTGATTTTTAACAATTTTGAACTTTCTCATCCTTTGTTTTTGTTTAATAGCTATCTTTTGGTGGTGAGGGGAGAGGTGTGTGAAGGTGAACTAGTAAAAAAAGAAATTAGCAGCAGCAAAGTGGAAGAATAAAATGTTCAATGAAGCCATACGTTCTTAACATTGATGGAAAAGTACTGCATAACACCTGAAATAAAACCACATCAGGTACCACAATTTGTAGAAATCTTAAATTAAAAAAAAAGAGATACACTTGGAATTTTTTTATCCTATTGCTCAATCTACACATTATCTGATTCTACATGAGACACAAATGACTAAAATTCCATTTTATCCAGGAAACATTTCTGTCTTCTGGTCATATTTAATCATTCCATCTGTGACACTTCCATTTATTGTACGGTCTTACATGAAATTTCAACTAAGAGCATAGGTCTTTAAAACAATCCTTTTAATCCAATTTTCTGTTTTATTTTAAGTGAGCAAGTTGTATCTACTCAAATTTTAAATTGATTTTTAGGACTCCCGATTCAAGCTTAGTTAGATGCCTTGTAAGAATCCATGCTCTGACTCTGAGAGTGTACTAAATTTTTACATGGTAATCCTGCATTCATTTTGAAGGTGGCATCATCATTAAACTCCTCATCAGGTCTTAATTGCATACCTGCTATGTATAGAGGTGTGTTCTGTTGTTGGCTGAGACTGAATTCTAAGGTGAGGACAAACCAAGGCATAGAGAATATTCATGTTTAGACTACTTGAAGAAATGGAAATCTGTCCCATAGTGGAAATTCAATAAAAACATCTATTTGGTTAAATGTCTTGGTTTAATCTGTAACTTTTGTAGCACAGTAGAGTGAAGAGAGTTCAGTATACCTGTGCAGTCAGGAAAGAGTTCAAGGAAAAAGGACACTTTAAGGTTGGACAAAGTGTTTGTTTGTTTTTAAAATATATCTGGCCCTGGCTGGTGTGGCTCAGTGGATAGAGCGTTGGTCTGTGGACTGAAGGGTCCCGGGTTCGATTCCAGCCAAGGGCACATGCCTGGGTTTCGGGCTCAATCCCCGGTAGGGGATGTGCAGGAGGCAGCCTATCAATGATTCTCTCTTATCACTCATGTTTCTATCTCTCTCTCCTTCCCCCTTCCTCTCTGAAATAAATAAAGAAATATGTTTTAAAAAATAATAAAATAAAATATATTTGTATTAACTTCAAAGAGGAAGAGAGAGGGAGAGAGAGAGAAACATCAATGATGAGAGAGAATCATTGATCACCTGCCTCCTGCACACACATACTACACCCCCCGCCCCATGACTGGGGATTGAATCCAAAGCCCAGGCATGTGCCCTGACCTGGCATTGAACCATGACCTCCTGGTTCATAGGTAGATGCTCAACCACTGAGCCACACTAGCTGGGCACTAAACCTGTTTTATTGGAAAAGTAATATGATGAGTACTGTGCCATGATATACCCTAGAAAATCAGTATAGCTCTCACTTTTATATATAGTTAGTGTTTCTGTGTATATTTAGATAAATATATGTATCTGTTGTACTTCTTTTATTAGTCTCTGAAATTTGTTGGGAAATCATCTATTTGAAGGGAAAATCTTGCAGAGTATTCTGTTGCGTTTTACTGCCCCCTTCTGCTACTTGAATTTTTATCAACTTCTTTTTCTCTATGACACTGTGAAGATAACTAGGTAGATCTTATGTCTGACATTATAATGTTCTTAAAAGGCTACATGTGCGGTGCTCATTTTAGATTTAACTTTCATGAATAGACTGAAAAGGAATAAAATTGTTATTAATAGAAGTGATAAGCCATTCCTATAAGTTAAAAGAAAATTGACAGAAGACGCTCACTACCCAAAATTCCAAATGAGCTAACATCTTTAAGAGAGACATTTTTTATTGCTCTTATGGAGTGCTGCCACTCAGACATGGAAGGACTTTGGATGATAATATGTTCATGTACTAGATTCATCAGTTGAAACAAGTGTACCATTGTGGTAATGATGTTGAGAGTGGAGGACATGAGGGAGAGGGGTTAGGGGGTAAATGGGAACTCTGTACTTTCTGCTCAGTTTTGCTGTGACCTTAAACTGCTCAAAAAATAAAAATAAAAATGCCCCTTAGTGGATAGAGCGTCGGCCTGTGGACTCAAAGGTCCCAGGTTTGATTCTGGTCAAGGGCATGTACCTTGGTTGCCAGCACATCCCCAGCAGGGAGTGTGCAGGAGGCAGCTGATCGATGTTTCTCTCTCATTGATGTTTCTAACTCTCTATCCCTCTCCCTTCCTCTCTGTAAAAAATCAATAAAATATATTTTAAAAAATGAACATTTACTAACTGCAAAAAGAATCCAAGCCTGTAAATAAGGACTTTTGAGTTTAGCTCTTTTCTTTCTTTCTTGTTCACATGTTTATTCTATCCCCTCACAGAGGTCTCCCTGCATTTAGTGATGTAAGAAAACAACTTGCCCCACATGTGCCACAGGACTGTTTTGCTGAAGGCCATGCATATTTGTTTGCCTAAGAATCATAATCATTGGTAAAATTCTTTAAGGTTAAATGCTACAGGCAGAATAATATCAGATACTCATTTCTTAACCAAGTTCTCCCTCTGCCCTAGGGACAATGATTCCCTTGCAAATATCTGAAGAACTTATTCTTTGCCTCATCCCTTTCATGTTAAGAAATAGAACTCACACAAGGCCTTTTTCTCACTTCTTTGAAACGACTCTCTTGTCTTAGAAGTTTGCATATTTTCCATTTGCTTCATCAAGAGCTTCGGGGGTTCTTACCTCTAAAGCTATATCTCTACCCTGTAATCTAATCTGAATCTGACTGGTACACCCACTCTTCCCTGTATTTCACAACCACTCTTTCAGCTGTCCCCTGGATCTTTTCAAATGACCATACTGAAAACCAAACTCAGTTTCAACAAAAAGATATTTTCCTTTAATATTCTCCATAGGAGTTAACAGGCTTGTTGTGGAGCGCGAGCGACAGAATGACCAGAACTCCAGACTGATTAAAATTTAGAAAGCCTGTATTGACTGGCCAGTGTCCGCTCCTCCACTCGGGAAGCCCAAGAGAGAAGCGGCCCTGACCATCTTTAGTGTCTAATATTTAAAGGGGACAACTACATCCGTGTTCGGGTTCCCATAGCAAGCAAAGCCAAGTTACAAAAGCCAATTGTGTAGTTTTAGCCAAGCTATTCATCATCCTCCTGTTATTCATTTCTGGGTAACTTAAAGGTAAGGACTATTCTTAATTTTGATCTGTTTGTTCTTTGTGGACCGTTGCTCAGGTGTGGGAGCTCAGTTCCTAGAAACTTGGCACAGGCTGTCAAGCTGCTGAGGTGGCTAGGTAATTAAGCAGGCCTAAAAATGTTCCTGCTCTGTAACATTCCCCACTGGTTTTTGGGCGACTTCCCTGGCCATTTTATCTGCGAAGGTGTTTCCCCGTGCCTCCGGGGTGTCAGTTGACTTATGTCCTTTGCAGTGTATGACTGCCACCGCCTTCGGCGTCCAAAGGGCCGCAGGAGGGTAAGGATTTCTGGGACATTTTAGATTTCCTTCCCTCCTGACGTTAGGAGTCCCCTTTCTTGGTATAAGTCCCCGTGAACGTGAACAGTGGCAAATGCATATCGGCTGTCCGTGTATATATTCACTGCCTTTCCCTTCCCCCACCGTAGTGCTTGGGTGAGGGCTATCAGCTCTGCCTTCTGAGCAGATGTCCCACGTCCTAGTGCCTGCGCCCAGATTACCTTGTCAGCTGTCACGAGCGCTGCTCCTGCGTACCTGGTCCCTTCGACCACAAAGCTGCTTCCATCAGTGTATAGGGTCTCCTCAGGGTCTGGCAGGGGCTGGTCTGTCAGGTCCTCTCGAAGGTTCTTGAGCGAGGACAGGGTTTCAGTGCAGTCATGGAGGGGCTGCTCGGGGTCATCATCAGGCAACAAGGTAGCAGGGTTTAGTGCCGCTGTTTTGAGAAAACTGACTCGTGGGGGATCAAGCAAGAGTACCCAATACTGGGTGATCCGAGCATTCCAGAGCCAGCGCTCTAGTGGGCTTCGCAACAGTGCCTCCACGGAATGTGGAGCCACTACTTCCAAGTCCTGCCCGAGAGTGAGTTTCGAGGCTTCCTTTACCAATATAGCTGTAGCTGCCACTGCTCTCAAACACTCCGGCCACCCTGCAGCCACGGGGTCTAGCCACTTGGATAAGTATGCCACAGGCCTTTTCCATGGTCCCAGGGGTTGGGTTAACACCCCCTTTGCGATTCCCCGAGCCTCTGCCACATGTAACTGAAATGGCTTTATGAGGTCTGGCAGCGCTAACGCTGGTGCACTAAGGCTTGTTTAAGATCTCGAAAAGCCTTAGTTTCAATTTCAGTCTAGTTTAGTTTATCAGTCTTTCCTCTGGTGCAGGTAATAGGCTCAGGAGGGTATATGGATTAGACACCGTGGGATGTATAGTTTCTACCCTCTTATTGACCTCTCTTTAGTCCTGAACGGGTCTGAAGTCCTCCGTCACGGGTTTTTGCACAGGAAGCAATGGGGTATTCCACAGGGAGTGGCAAGGGACTAAGATTCCTGCTTTTTTCAGTCTTTTTATGTGGACTGCAATGCCTCTTCGGGCCTTTTGGCTTATTGGATATTGCTTAACCCATACTGGAATTGCTGTGCTGGAGAGTTGTACCACAATTGGGGCTTTGTGGACTGCCAATCCTGGGGGGTTACTCTCTGCCCATACTCCAGGTATTTTCTGTTGCAGCTTTTGGAGTAATGGGGCATCTGGGACCGGATTGTTGTTCTCGGTTCCCCCAGTGAGGAGGTATTCCTCGCTCAAGGGGCAAGTCAAAAGCACAGCCCCTGGTCTCTGATTAAAAGTCACTGTAGCCGTCTCCTCCTGGAAGGAGATGGTAGCCTGCAGTTTGCTGAGAAGGTCCCATCCCAGTAGCGGGTACGGGCACTCCGGCATCACTAAGAATGAGTGGGTCACTATCCCGGCCCCCAGGTTGGTAATTTGGGCCTGGGTCCATGGGTAAGATTTAGTCTTTCCCATGGCTCCCTGAATGGGGGTTCGTTCTTTGGACACCGGGCCCTCCGCCTGCTGTAGGACGGAGTAAGTAGCTCCAGTGTCTACAAGGAAGTCCACGGGTTTGCCCCCGACTTTTAAGGTGACCCTGGGCTCCTGGGGGCTAATTGGGATGGAGGCCCGGCCCCGTCAGTCTCCTTCTTCAACTAGTTCCGGGGTCGGGTGCTGCTGAGGCTTTTTTGGACAGTCTTTCTTCCAAAGGCCCTTTTCCTTGCAGTACGGACACTGGTCCTTCCCTAAATCAGAGCGTCTTGGGTGCCTGTCCTCTTTCCCGAACTTCCTTCCCTTTCTCTGATTCCCGTCTCTTTCCTCTTGCATGGCAGTTACCAGGACCTTTGCCATTTTCCGAGTCTGCACAGTCTCTGAATCTTCTCTATTGTTAAATGCCTTTTGACCAACCTCAACCAATTCCGACAGCACTTTTCCCTCAAAGCCTTCTAACTTTTGTAATTTCTTTCTAACGTCTGGGGCCGACTGGGACACGAAAGTGATGTTAACTGCCCACCAATTCTCAGGTGCATCAGGATCTATGGGTGTGTAGAGCCTGTAGGCTTCACACAGGTGCTCTAGAAAAGCGGCAGGAGATTCATTCAGTCCCTGTAAAGTTTCAGTTACCTTAGACAAATGATGGGTTTCCGCGCAGCCGCTCGGATTCCCCTCAGCAGAGTCTGGCGATACCGACCTTACCTCACTCCGTGTTGGGGTCCCACGAGGGGCAGAAGAGTGGGAAGATAGCCTTGAGCCATGCTGACTCCGAAAAGGGTTGGCCGTCGGGGCCAAGAACCATTTTCCTTCCCTCCGACCTGACTTGCTCTCTCTCCTCCGAGGTGAAAAGAGTCTGGAGGAGCTGTTGGCAATCATCCCAAGTGGGCTGGTGGGTGAAAAAGACAGACTCCAAGAGGGAGATTAATCCCTGCGGATTCTGAGAGAAAGAGGGATTCTGATTCTTCCAGTTATAGAAGTCACTGGTCGAAAAAGGGACGTAAACCATAAAAGGCCGTTCCTCCCCGTTGGGGGCGGCCACCTAGTGCAAAGGCAACATCAGGGCTCCAGAGAAGTCCGGAGAGGGGGCTGAATGAGGGGGTCGGTACTCTGCCCCACTGCAGGTATGAGATGGACTCAGAGGATCTTCAGGGGGAGCCTGCATCAGGGCTGACAGGTACGGGGGTGGCTCTGCTAAGATGGGGTCCTCCTGCGGAGGTGGGAGGACAAGGGGCTTCCTCTCAGCCTCCCTGGGAGGTGTAGTGAGGAGGACAGTTGGTCTCTGTCCCAATTTCTTTTTCTTTTCTGAGGGTTTTTTGCAATCCTGGAGCCATCTAGGATTTTCAGTTAAAACATCTATCCAAATTTGAACATACACCATTTGGTCCGGGTGCCCGGGGTTTCCAAAAATTATAGCCTGGACCTAATAGGCTAAACCCAAATCAGTCGACCCCTCAGGAGGCCACTCGATCTGCGGGAAAGTTGGCCATTCATGCTCACAGAACTTCTGTAAATCAAAAGCGTTAACAGGGGCTCTGTAGCCCTCAGCTCTTCGCTTGAAGTCCTGGAAATTTTTCAAAAGACATTGAAGGGGGGTACAGGCAGTACATGAAGCTGATTGACCCATTCTGACAACAAAAAATAAATTGGACGCAACAACAGACACAGACAAGACAAATAACAACCAGACTCAGGATCACCGGGCACCGTCGTGCACCGGGATCTGGTCTCAACGGAAGTAGTGCTGCGTCCAGCCTTCCAAAGACCTCTGACGGGCCCACAGAACCAGAATCAGGACTCAAAAGAATTGAGTCTTCTTACTGGTAAGAATCAGATCCAGATGGCTCCAACTGAAGTCAATTAGACAATTTTTGGACAGACCTGCCAAACTCTATCGGTCCTGGGGCTGAGGAACGTCTCTCAGAGATCTCCCCCTAGGTCCAGGAGTTTGGATGTCTTCCCTAGACTCTGGTCACGGGACCAGTCAATAGCCAGTTATCTCGCTGGGGCCTCCAAATGTTGTGGAGCGCGAGTGACAGAATGACCAGAACTCCAGACTGATTAAAATTGAGAGCCTTTAACTCCAGACTGATTAAAATTTAGAGAGCCTTTATTGACTGGCCAGTGTCCGCTCCTCCACTCAGGAAGCCCAATAGAGAAGCGGCCCCGACCATCTGCAGAGTCCAATATTTAAAGGGGACAACTACATCTGTGTTCAAGTTTCCATAGCAAGCAAAGCCAAGTTACAAAAGCTAATTGTGTAGTTTTAGCCAAGCTATTCATCATCCTCCTGTTATTCATTTCTGGGTAACTTAAAGGTAAGGACTATTTTTTTTTTATTGATTAAGATATTACATATGTGTCCTTATCTCCACGTTACCCCCTATCCCCTGCTCATGCCCTCACCCCCCTGTTGTCCATGTCCATTGGTTAGGCCTATATGCTTGCATATAAGTCCTTTGGTTGATCTCTCCCCCTTACCCACACCCTCCCCTACCTTCTTAATTTTGATCTGTTTGTTCTTTGTGGGCCGTTGCTCAGGTGTGGGAGCTCAGTTCCTAGAAACTTTGCACAGGCTGTCAAGCTGCTGAGGTGGCTAGGTAATTAAGCAGGCCTAAAAATTTTCCTGCTCTGTAACAAGGCTCACTATCCACTCAAGTTTATAATTGACTAGAGGCCTGATGCACGAAAATTCATGCCTGAGTAGGCCTTCCTTTCCCGGGCTGCCAGCACCAGCTTCCCTCCAGCACCCGAACCTGGACTTCTCTCCTCCCACCGCCGGCAGGCACCCAGGACTCGGGCTGGCTTCCCCCAGGCCACTGGCAGGCACCCAGGACCCTGGCTGGCTTCCCCTGGGCCGCATGTCAGGAAGAATGTCCAGAATGACATCTGGAAGACATCCACTCTTATTAGCATATCACCCTTTTATTATTATAGATTAGCACTTATGAGCATCTCATGTGCTTCATATTTTACATGGGTATTTAGTTTACTATCCATCTCCCCCACCAAATAGTCCTTGAACATAGGGGATTTTGTCTTTTTCACTATTCAAAGTGCCTAGATATGCACTACTAGAGATCAATAAATATTAATTGAATAAATGGGTGAACCTATCTTCTGTGAAATCAACTTGAAAAATTAGATGGCCATCACTTCATTTTGTAGTCATTTCCTAAAATTGGAATTTTCAAATCAAAGGTATCTACGTTTTTAAAACTCTTTTTTGTTAATTGCAATGGTGATGCCTGGAGCTGCCGTGGTCATCTTGTACAAGTCAACATACCAGTGATATAAGAAAAGGTTGTAGCCCAACCAGCATGGCTCAGTGGTTGAGCTTTGACCTATGAACCAGGAGGTCATGGTTTGATTCCCGGTCAGGGCACATGCCCGGGTTGTGGGCTCAATCCTCAGTGTGGGCTGTGCAGGAAGCAGCTGATCAGTGATTCTCTCTCATCATTGATGTTTCTATCTCTCTCCTTTCCTCTCTGAAATCAATAAATATCTATTAAAAAAGAGAGAGAGAGGAAAGGTTGTGAAAAAGAACCTGGGACCTTGATGGCATTATTGAGATGGAGTCCTGGTTGATTTCTCCTAGAGTTTTCTCTATCTATAGATTTCTGGTTAAATGAGTCCCAATAGCTGCACATAAAGCACTTAGGCTGAACTGATGTCAATTTTAATATTTCTAGTTTTTAAACATAGACTCTTAAAGTGATATTAGCCATCACATTTCATCTGTCAAGTCTAACAGCTTCTCATTGCTCTGAAATGAAATCTAAACTCTTTACAATGGCCTACTAGGCCCTACCCACCTCTTCAACTTTTCCTCACACAAGTTATTCTTCCTATCTGTGATCCACTCACACAGGGCTTTGTGTATCTCCATCAGATCTAACGTTTTGCTGCCCAAAGGCCTTTGCACTTGCTGTTATCTTCACCAGAATGGTTTTCCTCTGCATGGCTGGATTTTTTTTCTTTTAATTCTCAGCTATCAATTCAAATATTGTATCCCCTCGTTACTCTCTCCATTATATGTTCCTGGTAAGTTTATTTATTTTATTGTCTCAAGCATACTCATCATGAGAATATAATCCTTGTTTCTTCAATTCACTGCTATATCTCTAACACCTAGTGCAGTACCTAGTATATGTACCTAATTCACGGTTTGTGCTCAAAATATTAAATAAATGACTATGAATATATAATGATCAAGACAAAATTGATATAAAAATGTTGACTAGATAAAATCATTTTAAATACTCATGTATTTTTGTTGTTGTTGTTGTTAATCCTTACCTGATGATATTTTTCCATTGATTTTTAGAGAGAGTGGAAGGGAGGGGGAGAGAGAGAGAGAAACATTGATGTGAGAGAAACACATCGATTGGTTGCCTCCTGCATGTGCCCTGACCAGGGGTTGGGATTGAGCCTGCAAGCGAGGTGCCTGCCCTTGACCAGAATCGAACTTGGGACCCTTCAGTGTGTGGGCCAATGCTCTGTCCACTGAGCCAAACTGGTAGGGCAGTACTCATGTATTTTTAAAAATGCTCACAATAAACAAAATTAAAAGGAAAATTACACAAAGAGAATTTATTTGTGAAATAATTTTGATATTTATTAAATAAAGAAAAATTGCAAATGAAAAAGATCACGCATACCAATAGGTAAACAGGCAAAGGCCATGATCAACTAAGTCAACAAAGAATTGTTTAATAATCAGAAGATAAAATTAGTTTGTACCAAGAAGTTAAGAAATGCCAATAAAACCAAGAGATCATTTTTCCTGAAAATTTGATAATTTAATAATAAAATAGTGTTCATGTATTGAGTTATGTTTATATACTAAGAACTGTTACACTTTTTACATATTTACATACATAACTGAAATAGAGTAAAGA